GCAGACCTAGGTAACTTTGTTCTCACCCACAATTATTTCCAATTTGGGGACAACTTATACCTCCAGATCAGTGGCACAGCCATGGGTACCCGCATGGCCCCACAGTACGCTAACATCTTTATGGCTGACTTAGAACAATGTTTCCTCAGATCCTGTCCCCTTTTACCCCTTCTCTACTTACGCTACATCAATGACATCTTTATGATCTGGACCCATGGCCAAGAAAAACTGGATGCATTCCAGAGACTTTAACCATACCTATACCCACCATCAATCTCAGCCTGGACCATTCAACATGAGAGATCCATTTCCTGGACACCACAGTACAAATCACCAATGGTAAATTAGATACCACTCTCTACAGAAAACCCACTGACTCATACAGTTACTTACATGCCATCCAGAACACACCATACGATCCATCATCGATAGCCAAGCCCTTCGATACAACCGCATCTGCTCTAATCCCACTGACAGAGACCAGAAGCGTCAGGATCTCTACCAAGCATTTATAAACCTCAATTACCCACCCAGAGAAATAAAAAAACAAATTGAAAGAGCTGGATGAATACCCAGAAATCATCTACTTCAAGACAGACCTGAGAAAACCAATAATAGAACACCACTTATCATCACCTATAGCCCCCAACTTAAACCCGTCCAAGGGCAGGGAGAAGTTTTTCACTGTACAATTTGATGTTTTATAACATAAGGAAATCACTTGAGATCCTACAGACAACCACCTAACCTCAGGATGATTCTTACCAACAACCACAGGACATACCACACTAATACCAACCCTGGAACTTTCCCTTGCAACAAACCCTGTTGCCAGCTTTGTCCACATATTCACTCTGCTGACACCATTATTGGACCTAACCATGTCAGTTACAAGATCAAGAACACATATTCCTGCTCATCCAGAAATATAGTTTATGCCATCATGTGCCAAGAGTGTCCATCTGCTATGTACATTGGACAAACTCCTCAGACACTTCGCCAAAGAATCAATGCACACAAAACAGGTATCAGACTGTTTTTTCTTTGTGATACTGTTTCTTGCCATTTCAACCAGACTGGGCATTGTCTCAATGACCTAACTACATGCATCCTGTTTCGAAGAGACTTTAACACCAGACTACAAATGGAAGCCTCAGAACAGTCATTCATGCTTAAATTTGACACTTTACAAATGGGCCTTAACAAAGATGCTAATTATCTTACCCATTACAAAGATAGCTTCCCCAATTATCACCTCTAATATCATTAGCTCATAGACACTAACCTCCCCTGCCCCCTCAGTTCTAAAATCTGATTTGTCAATTCTGTGTGTGTTCACTTTTTTTGATCGTATCCTTTGGTATATATGGTTGTGCCAATTTTCTTCTACAATTTGATCTGAGGAAGTGGGTCTGGCCCACGAAAGCTCATCAACTAATAAACCATCTTGTTAGTCTTTGAAGTGCTGCATAGTCCTGTCTTTTGTTTGGGAAGATCACAGATTTCTAATATAGCTAGCAATGTCAGATAAAATGACCTCTAGTTCTCAAATGGTGGGGCAGAGCCAGGACAGCCCTCAGCCAGTTCACCACAGGAGGAAAGGGAACACTCACCTGAGAATGTATTATCTGCGAAGCGTAACAGCAAACTGCTTTTACCAACACCTGAGAGAGAAAAAAAAATGCTGAGTTCTGTTGAAGTAGACCTAACAGATGGTAGTATTTTGTTTATTATTCACTGTATTTTCTGAATCCCATTTGAGTCCTTCTTCTAGAAGATAATCTAGTTCTATCAGGGTACATCTAGACTGCAGAGTTGTCAAAAAATTCTGCTGCATCCAAGGAATGTGTCTGCCCTTCCAAATTTTTTTTTTGAAGAAGAGCAGACACGTTTTTTCAGCATCCCTGTAAACCTCATTTTACGAGGAAGAAGGGTGCGCCCCCCCCCCCAACGTTTGGCCCAGTGTAGACAGGCCAAATATCAGAAAAGCCTCTTCCAGAAAATGATACGCAAATTGTGAACTGCAATTTGCGTAGCTTTTTCCGCTTCTTTTTTGGAAGAACCATGTAGTCTAGACCCAGCCTCCATTCCTGACCTATGCCTCAGAGGAGAAAAATGGCATGAACAGCACTGCAGGTTAGATCTCAAATGATCCATTTCAACTGCCCTTAACTTTCTGTCCCTGGCTCAGTACTGCTACAGCAAGCATGCCCAGCAGATGCTCTTTAAAAAAAAAAAAATCTCATCTCCCATTCAATCATATGCACTTGAACCCACAGTTGTGACAGGATTAGGAGCTGGCAGACAGTCTACAAAGGTTTCTGCATGAAGTCTTTGCTGCCTGTGTATCACATTACCTGACAACAAATTAAGCCAGGTCAGGCCAGTAAAAGCCGGAACAGCCTTTCCACCTCAGCCTCCACTGCCCCTATCTAGACCCCCACGACGTGGCATCCTGCCCTGCACAGATGTGCCCCCATACACATCCACCCCAGCGGTACCTCCCCTGCACAAACCAGCCCCTCCCGGCCCCTCTCCATTCAGACGCCACAAAGCCGCCTCCCCCGACCCGGGAAAGGCCCACCCCCAAGACCCGGCCTCACTCCCCTCCTCACCGCTGTCGCCAATGATGAGCAGCTTGAAGAGGTGATCGTAGTCCCTGGCCATGGCCAGTGGAGAGCGGAGGGGACGGGAGAGGTAGGGTCTCTTCAGACGGCAGCGGTGGCTCTGGACTGGATCCACTTCCCGAACAAACAGCCGGAACTGACAGCGACAGCAACACCCCCATGTGCCCACCCTGCGCACGCGCACCACCTCAGCTGACCGGTTAGCGGTCTCCGCTCTTTAGCTGCAGAGCGCGGCTGTCCCAGTACGCATGCGCCGTGCCTTACCGTCCTATCCGTCCCCTGGACTCAATGGATCTCAAACATTTAGGCCAGTGACTCACATCACCAGTTGCTAATGGAAACTCACCATTAATTACATAATTATGCCCGAGACATTTTGCTAGTGCTGCAGCTAGGGAGAATGGGTTAATTTAACCAGTAAGAAAGGAAATATTAATTTGAAACAGATTAAGCACTTAAACTAACATGAGAGAGTTTATCAAACTTCATTTTAAATAAACTAAAAATATTAATTTATGTCCAACACAAAAGGTTTCAATGTTTTCTTTATTAATGGCAGGGGTGGGGAATCTTTTTGGGTCAGGAGCCACTGACCCACAGAAAAAAATCAGGTGGGGACCACACAAGTGAGAAGCAAATAACTCCTCCAAAACCCCCCATCCCTCACTGATGTGGCCCCAACTGAGACACCTCACCCCTCTGGTGCTCCAGCCCCACAGGGCAAGGGGGAGGAATGGAGGACTGAGGTTCAGGGTTCCCATGGGCTGGATTTACTCTTCTGGGGTTCCAGAGTTAGTGGATTTTGTGGGCCCCCCCGACTCAGGGGTGGGGACAAAAATGAGGTGTTCAGTGTGTGGGACAGGGCTGCCAGCAATTGGGATAGGGATGTGGTACAGGAACTGTGCAAGATGTGGAGTGCAGGAGAGGATGAGGGTGGAAGTTAGGGTGCAGCAGCTGGCTGAGAATAGGGTGTCAGAGGAGGGGGTAAGAGCAAGGGTAGGTGCAGCGTGTGGTCAGGAGGGAGGGTGCAGGGTCTTGGCAAGAGGGTGTGTGTGTGAGTGAGGGGGATTGGGGTGCAGGTTCTGGGAACGAGGGGGGACACTTACCTGACTTTGCACCCCTGTTGCACCCAGGCACAGCCTCCCACTGCTGCCATTGGCCTCAATTCTGGCCAACGGGGAAAGCCTCCAGACAGTGCATCACTGCACTGCCATTCCCCCAGCAGGAGGGTGGGGGAGAGCGGCAGCACATGAAGCAGCTTGCTCTGTCTCTGTGTCCATGTTGCAACTCCCTCTGCCCCTCCCCTGCACCCTCCCGCCTGCTGCTGCACAGAGACCACAAGGCTCAAGCTGCAGCGCAGGCTCCCCGCTGTGTGGGGGAAGTGGGGGGCTATGCTCAACCTGCAGACCAGGCGGCCATGGACCACTAGTGGTCCGCAGACCACAGTTTGAGAACTGCCCTAAACCAACAATTGTTTCCTCCAGCTATCCGACCTCTATGTGTGCACTTGTGCCCTTGTCACTTCAAGGCTAGTGTGACAGGGTGCCTGCCCTGCACTGGCCTTTTACAGGACTCAGGCCCGGAGCCGGGGCTAGAAAGAAAGAGGCCAGCTGGAGCTATTTGGGGCTAGGGAGAGCCCAGCTGGCAAGCAACTAGGGCAGCACGAGTGGCTTGTAGAAGCCAGCTGAACCCATTAGGGTGAGTGAGAGCCCAGCTGACAAGGATCCAGCACAGCACTAGTGGCTTGCAGAAGCCAGCTGTAATCATTAGGGTGAGTGTGAGCCCAGCTGGGAGGTATATATATAGATATAGAGAAGCACAGGTTGCTGGGGGGAAGGGGGAGAAGGTTAGGGGAGAGTTGACTGTAGAGGAGGCAGGAGCTCCTTGGAGGGAGACAAGCCGGGGAGCCAAGACTCCCCTGGCTAGGGGCTGGAGACAAAGCCCTGGTTTGGAGGCAGACCTTGATGCAGCCTAGGTAAGCAGGGCAGTTGAGACAACCCTGATGCCTATGATGAGCAACCCATACAGACTGTAACTTGTCCTGAGAGGGGCTATATGAGAACAGTCAGGGGGCACTGGGGTGTGAACCCCCTGACAGCTAGCTAGAGACTTGCAGCTGTGTTCTGGGTGCATGCGTAGTGAGTCCTCTCAGTAGTGTAGGTGCTCATATCAGTTAGTTAGGTGGTAGTACCCCTCCCTCACTGTCTTCCTTAGGCAGGTCACCTGTCCAGCCCATCTCATGTGCCAGTGCCCCCAGCCCTTGGGACCCACTGTGCCTCACAGCAGGGCACCACAGCAAAGGCCTTCTGCTCTGATGTGGGGGCTGGTCAGTGACAGTTGCAGAAGGCATGGTCCAGGGATCCTTCCTGCCCCCCTTCACCTGGCCTCAAGACAGGCCCCATGAGAGAGGCTACAATGTCTTGAGATTTTTAACAAGACCACTGACCATTGGGCTCTACTTGCTGTCTGGCTTCTGAGCCTTTAGGGTCATATTTTCAAGCTTTTCTCTGAAACTATAAATACTAATGTGTGTAATCACTGGCACATGAGTCCAGGAGCTGGGGGTTGAAGAAAAATAAAACACCAAATACTGAAAGAGAGGGTAGCAATGTGAGCTGCTGTTGTGTTCCAGATGCTGGAATAAGCCACACCAAAGCCTGCTCCTACCCTTCTCCCTCACACAGCATAGCCCCTGACTGTTTCTGAAATGCCCTTGTGTGTCATACCATGAAGGGGTCCCTGGCAGTTCTGGAATGAAGTTCTAATTCTTGATACAGATTTTTCCCTCTGCAGTTGAAACACCTGGCTCCTGCCTACCTCATTTTTCATAAACAAATCTACTATAGCTGAAATCCACTGAGCATTAAGACAAGACCCACCTCTGCAATAGTCCAATATACAGGTGGAGACTATGGACTGCTGCTCTATTTGCTAAACAGGTGTGGCCTACATCATAGAAGTGCAAGGCTATGCCTACACTCATGGAGATTTGGTCCAATGAGGCTGACAGCTGAGCTGTTGTCTTTGGGTGCAGCTGCACACTCTGCTATGATTCAGGCAGGCTGTGGCCCTGAGGCAGCTTCTCCCAACAGGCCTAATTAAACTGCCCTCGCCTTGTTACACCTGGAAAACAGCAGGGTCTTTCAAACAAACCTCGATATCAAAGTCCTTTCCTTTCAGGTGTCCCTGCCGGGGTCCAGTCTCACTGGGGGAACAGCAGTGAGGCTTTCCCCGCTGCTGCTATTGACTGGTGCTACCTAGGCAGCGATCTCAGTGGTGTCTAGCGGGGAAGCAGCAGCCTGCGCACCACACCCACTGCCACAGCCCAGCCTCTAGCCTCGCCCGTGGGGAGCTGGCTCCACTAGACAGGAGATCACGATCCGCCTCCCCGTGTTGCACCATAGCATCGGCCTGTGGGCCCTGCCACCTGCAGGTAAGTCTGGGGGAAGGTGCTGTGCCGGTGTAGCCAGACAGACTAACCCCCCA